CCACAGGGGGCCTTCGGTGAAGCACCAGATAGGGCCACGAAACGTTCGAGGGGTGCGCCGGAATGGAGGTGGAACTGCATGCGGACCCTGCCACAGGGGGCTTTCGGCGGAGCACCTCATAGGGCCACGAAACGTGAGGGGTGCGCTGAAATGGGGGTGGAACTGCATGCGGACCCTGCTACTGGGGCCTTCGGCGGAGCACCTCATGGGGCCACGAAACGTGTGAGTGGTGCGCCGGAATGGGGGTGGAACTGCATGCGGACCCTACCACTGGGGCCTTCTGCGGAGCACCCTATGGGGCCACGAAACGTCCGAGGGGTGCGCCGAAATGGGGGTGGAACTGCATGCGGACCCTGCAACTGGGGCCTTCGGCGGAGCACCCTATAGGGCCACGAAACGTGAGGGGTGCGCTGAAATGGGGGTGGAACTGCATGCGGACCCTGCTACTGGGGCCTTCGGCGGAGCACCCTCATGGGGCCACGAAACGTGTGAGTGGTGCGCCGGAATGGAGGTGGAACTGCATGCGGACCCTGCCACTGGGGCCTTCGGTGGAGCACCCCATGGGCCACGAAACATGTGAGGGGTGCGCCGAAATGGGGGGGTGGAACTGCATGCGGACCCTGCCACTGGGGCCTGGGTGGAGCACCCTATGGGGGCCACGAAACGTGTGAGGGGTGTGCTGAAATGGAGGTGGAACTGCATGCGGACCCTGCTACTGGGGCCTTCGGCGGAGCACCCTATGGGGCCACGAAACGCTGTACTCGGTGGGTGAAACGCAGGGAGGAGGGAGAAGGGGGAGGAGGGAGGGGACAGCGGGAGGAGGAGGAACGCTGGGCGTTGTCTTTTCAAAACGAGGACCCAACACCACAGGATGGTTGGGAATGATGATGATGATGCTGATGATGATGATGATGACGATGATGATGATGACGACGATGACGACGATGATGATGTTGATGATGATGATAATGATGCTGATGATGGTGATGATGGTGATGATGGTGATGATGGTGATGATGGTGATGATGATGATGATGATGCTGATGCTGATGCTGATGCTGATGCTGATGACGACGATGACGATGACGATGACGATGACGATGACGATGATGATGATGATGATGATGATGATGATGATGATGATGATGATGATGATGATGATGATGCTGATGCTGATGATGCTGATGATGATGATGATGATGATGATGATTGATGATGCTGATGATGATGATGATGATGATGATGATGATGATGATGATGATGATGATGATGATGATGATGATGATGATGATGATGATGATGATGAGAGGGGGGGAAGGAGGAGGAAGGAGGAGGAGTGAACGCGGGGCGCTGTCTCTTCAAAACGAGGACCCAACACCACAGGATGGTTGGGAAATATAAGATTATCCGTATGAACGGTCTGACTCACATTTTCGTCTGAGTTTCTGCTAAAATTGCGGGTGGAACCATCACATTTTTTGTCACAGGTCGGTTAGCGGTCCATCAATCGCGTGACAATTTTCTTCAAGGAGTGTTGCGTGAACGTTGCAATTGGCCCATATAAGGCTCTCACATGTGGCGTGGGCTTGGTTCTATTCTGAAAGAGCCCTGCGCGCAGAGTACGCTGTTCTTTTTGCCCGTACGTGAGGAATTCCACGGATGAGGTCTGCGCTCCAGTAATTTGCCTTTCATTTCGTCGATCGGCTTAAGTCGGGCGCGTCCCTGTACAGGAAGAATATCACCACCGGCAGCCAGAAGGCAGGTCTGCAGATGAGTCCGCTCCTTCGCGTGGCCATGAACCTCCTCGACGAAGGTTTGGATCGCTTCAAGCTGTTCGAAGAGGGGCTGTGCTTCTGCGACAACAGGATGCTCGTCCACGCTCGCAACGAATTCACCGACGCCCCCGATAAGCCTCGGCGCCACCAGGTCCGCGCGTGGATCCAGACGCAGAAGTTCTGAATGGAACTGCCAGGGATCTTAGTAGTGAGTTATAAGTTTTAATTCCCAGTTGCCGAAAGCCGCTCGGGTTTTCCTCGCCTTAGATGCTGTGTGGCACTTCGTCGGAGGGGAGGCCCGACGTTGCCCCATCAGCCAGAGTACTGCTGCTGCACCGCGCCTTGCCTTTGCGCAAAAAAAGAGAGGCGCCCAGGAGACCCGCATCGGCATCGGGGCGCCGGCCGCGCGCCCGGCAGGGGTGGCCGCGCGGGGGCGGCAGGCTTCGCCCGAAGAGCCTCCGAGCGCCGCGCGCGCGCGCGACGGCAGGCCGGCGCCGTCGCATTGGCCTCCGCCTCTGGCTCCTCGTCGCCGTCGTGTGCACGTCGTGTGCACGCCAGTGGGGCACGGCATCGGCCGCGATGCCCTGCGCGCCCAGGCCGAGCGCGCGAGGAGAGGCCCTCGGCGGCGGCGCGCCCCGCTCCGCGGCGCGGCGGCCGCGCCGCCCATGGCCCGCGGCCGCGCCGCCGTGGCGCGCCCGCGGCGCGCGCCGCGCGCGGGCGCCGCCGCCGCCGCGGCGCTCCTGGCGCCGGGCGCCGCCGCCGAGCTCCGGGCGCCGGGCGCGGCCCGCGCGGCGCCGCGGGGCCGCGGCGGGGCTCTCGGGGAGGTGCCGCTGGCCGGGGGGGTCCGAAGGGGGGGGAGCCCGGCGGGGCTACAGCGGCGACACGGGCAGCGACACGGGCAGAGCGACAGCAGCACGAGAAACTCGGCGGTCCGCGCGGAGGCCCCGGAGCGGCGCGGGCGGCCCCTGGCGGCGCCTCCGGCGCCGATCCGGGAAGTCCGCGCGGACCTCCGAGTTTTCATGCTTATGTCATTGTTTGTCCCTCTAGTCTGGGCCTCCCATGGGAGGGTCCACGCAGACGGGGTCGGCGGATCGCGCCGCATCGCCGAGGGCACCGGTGCATCGACGATGCAATCTGGCGATGCGGCGCGATGCTCCGATCCCACCAGCGCGGGACCCATGCAGGAGGCCTCTCTGGGGAGGGGCCCCGTGGGTGGTGGGATCGGCGCGGGAGTTGCTGCGGGGGTAGGGGGGTAGTAGTGGGTGCCAAGGTGGGTTCTGTCTTGCTGAGCCTGGCGTGCATGTGGGTTGCACAAGCCCCATGTTTCGTATAGGGGGGGGTGATATCTGTGCTAACTGGGCGGAGCCCCCTTAGTTCGGATCGTTAATACCCCTAAGCCCCTTGGGGCATGTGTGACCCACTTATAAGCCAGGTTTGGCCTGATATGACCCACCTTGGCATTCACTGATAACCCCTTATCCCCTCAGCAACCCCCCCGCCGATCCCAGGGGGACCCAACGGTGGGAATAGGAGCCAGCTAAGGGACTGAGGTGACCCAGCATTGCTTCTGGCAGCAGAAGTGGAGAAGAAAGAGGCCCCCTCGTCGCCACGTCTGGACGCTGCTCGAAAAAACCGTCAGTTTCGACCTGGACCGATTTTGAGCGGATCTGCTCCGCCTTCCCCCTCCCGCGCTCTTGACCGGTTTTCCGATTTCCTTTGGGCCTTTTCTGGCGCAGGCCCCTCCCGGCCGTTTCCCAGGCGGAAGTTGATTGGCTTCCTCGCCGCCTCGGGCTCTCTCGTCTCCGGATGCTTTCTCCAGCTGCTGCGCCGAGTCCAGGGCCCAAGCTATGACCCGAAGGCAGCCAGGCGTCGGAGCGGGGGCGAGAGCCAGGGGTGTGTGTGTGGATACATAGCTGGGGCTATGACGTGTACCGCATTTCGTGGCCCCTCTTCATCTTTTAGCCGCCGCCGCCGTCGTCGTCGACGTCGTCGTCGTCGTCGTCGTCGTCGTCGTCCTTGTCCTCGTCGTCCTTGTCCTCGTCGTTGTCGTCGTTGTCGTCGTCGTCTTGGCCCTCTCATCGCCTGCGCACAAGCCGGGTGCCCCGACGTGCCGCCCCCCCCGTCCTCTCGGGGGCCCCCAAACGGGGTGGTGACCACACCGTGTGGTGAGTCGGTGGGGAGTCGGGGTCACCGCACTGTTTCGGGACTTGGGTCGTTCTCCGATGATGTCTCGGGCGACTGGGGCCTCCAGGGTCCCAAACCCGTGTGGTGACGGACCCTGCGGTGAGGTCTTTGCGGATTCGAGGTCGCCGCCAGTCACCGCCGGGTCTGTCACCGCACCGTTTTGGGACCCCCAATCTTTTTGTGCCCCCCCCC